GTCACCGGGGGCCACACCTCTTTTTTTTCGCCCTTTTCATCTTCTGTATTCCCTTTTTGGTTTCTCCAACGGTATTGTATTTCTTTTGTGATTTGGTCAGTAGCAGCATAGTGATGGTTGGTTCGCCAGTGAATAGGCAATAATATAATGGAATGATGGTATAGTATATTCCACGAATGCGATAGACCTGGAGGGATCGTCCAGCTCCAATCCGATTGAGCGCCACCCTGTAGGGCCATGCATACTTGGCTTGCATAATATCACACCGGGATGGAGGCATAAGTGCGGAGACTCCAACCAGTCGCAAACAATGGATGGGATCTAAAAATACCGGGTTGGGGAGGAGGTTTCGTTTTTTTCGTGGCGGTCAATGCAGCCCACAACCAATGGTGGTGGCTGCCATCCGTTTGGCTTTTTTTCTTCTTTTTTTTTCTTTATGGGATACTTAATTTGAGTCTTTTAGATGCGTATGCCCCGTTGGATTGTAAACTGGCATCTCTGCGTACCTTAACGGCGAGTCTTGTTTTCTGCTTTGATAATGAGGGAGGCTGAAGGAATTAGGGTACGGTACGGTAATGCTTTGATGTTGGATGTATGGACGTATGGATGTATGTACATATGTACATAGTACACAAGTCCATACATACATACATACATACATAACATACAGTATGTATCTACTTTGTTTTCTACGATAAGAGCAATAGGTAGTTAACTAGTTACACTATGGTAAGTGTTATGTAAGTCCGTCATGAACGAAACTTCGGGTACCGCCCCTGAACCAAACTTCCTCAGCGACTGTACCTTGGATACCGGCGAGTAAGTGCAAAAAGTTGGATATAATAATAGTAAGGGCCACAAAACTGACAACCAGCATGAGGTGTGATTCGAGAAGAAGGCAGATGGAGAGGTAGAGAACGATTGCCAGTCAGGATACAGGGAAAGACCGTCCAAGTATCATCCTGTAACCAGACTAACAAACTAAAAGTTGGTTTAGTGCTGCCAAAATCACCAGCCGACTCGACCTTAAGCAACATGGTGCAGTTCGCCCTCGGATTTTCCCTTATCATTGGCGCTTAACCACCAGCCATTCAGTGTTCATTTCCCCTGCCTTGTGAGAGTTCTAGGGTTTAGTCCATAGGTAGTAAGAAGCTATCGATTTAGGATGATTTGGGGCTCTCCCCGTCACGCAAACCAGCCGAGGAAGGAAAATCTGATATTCGCGTCATAATATCAGAGAAAGCAATATAGTTGGCTGGTTGGGATTGAATTGATGGACTTGGTATATTAAATTAATTAATTAATTTTTGATTTATATTTATCATTTTTTTTTATTTTATTTTCTTTACTTGGAGTACCTTAAAATTCAGGTGAGCTATCGACTCAGGCAAAGCTCTCCCTTTACGTTGCCCCCTCCTCTATTCCCCCCTCTCGCTCTTCTTCCTTTCAAGTTTCTCCCTCTTCTTCCTCTTCTCCTCGAACTCTCTCCACACTCCCATTCGCTGTCTACCGCATTTGGTGGTCGTTCGGGTTAAACTTCACCTTCTTCACCTTCTTCACCTTCTTCACCTTCTTCACCTTCTCTTCTTCATAATTCTCAATTTTTTTTTTTCATATTATTTGGTTATCTTTATCCCATTTATCGATCCCATAGCGTCCTGTGATTCGCCGTGTTGAATATCGATCTATCTTCCCTCTGCGTTTTGTCCGATTTGCAGATACCCGTCCACGTTGCTTTTTCCACCGCCAACAACCCACCTCCTTATAACGCCCTGACCGTCGTCCATTTGACAGTTCGCCCGCCGCGCATCTCTCGTCGCCGCAATTGCCCCCTTTGCTTCCTTATATCGCAAATTCTGAAAGAATGGCGACCGGTCCCGCTACCCAATCTTTGAAGGTCAGCCCTCGCCAGCTCTCCCGTGGCTTATCTGTCGATCGACACACCGCGGCTAATAGACGACTATGTACAGTGTGTAGTCACTGGTGACGGTGCTGTTGGAAAAGTAAGTCAAAATCTCTCTATGGCGATTTCCGGCCATTTGTCAATTCCATCAGCTAATCTTGGGCCCAATTAGACATGTCTCCTGATCTCTTACACAACTAACGCTTTCCCTGGGGAGTATATACCGACCGTGTCCGTGGCCCCTCTGTTCCCTGTATCCATCTAAAACGAATTCGTGGTTGACCTGGACCCCAGATTTGACAACTACACGGCTAGTGTGATGGTAGATGGCCGACCGATTAGCCTAGGACTCTGGGATACTGCTGGGCAGGAAGATTATGACCGACTTCGCCCGTTGTCCTATCCGCAAACCGATGTCTTTCTCATCTGCTTCTCCATCGTCAGCCCTCCGTCGTTCGACAATGTCAAAGCTAAGGTGCTTACTCCCAAGCGATCCCTCATGGAAAATTCGCACCCGATGTCGATTGCGTCCAGCCTAACTAACCTCTATACAGTGGTTCCCAGAGATTGAACACCACGCCCCCAATGTCCCCATTATTCTGGTCGGGACGAAGCTCGACCTGAGAGACGACCGAGCGACGACAGACGCCCTTCGTCAACGAAAGATGGAACCTGTTTCCTATGAACAAGCCCTCGCCGTGGCCAAGGAAATCCGTGCACACAAGTACCTCGAATGTTCGGCTCTGACACAGCGTAATCTGAAGAGCGTCTTCGACGAAGCTATCCGGTAAGTCGACCCACGCCAACACAAGTTTCGGGGTTCTGAGGTTAACTTTCCTGGATCCAGTGCTGTTCTCAATCCACGACCCGCCACAAAGCCGAAGAAGAGCAAATGTTTGATTCTGTAGATCGATTCTTATAATTTCCTCCCGACTATAATATAAAGGACTAATACGGCGTCTGGGTTGTTGGGGAATTTATTCCCTATGATGACTATATCTTTCAATTATCTTGTTCCTTATTCACTGGCTGCATTTTTCCATCCTTGGCTCGATGCTACGATTTTGATGTTGTTTTGGGAGCCCAGATGCTCTGACCCCTCATCTCTTTACCCCTCCTTTAATTCAATATAAAGATGTAACACGCCATACAATATCATGCAATGATTGTCGCTTGATGGGGTTGTGACTTGCTTTCTCTCTCCAGTTGTTTCGGTACTTGTCTCGGGGGGAGTTGGTCTCCTAGAGGGATGTAGCGACAACCACAATGCATGCTGGGGGTGTAATTGCGATGGATGCATCTTAGCGAACGCTAGTCATTTGGAAATGGACGATTACGCATTCCAAGTCTTTCTTGCTTTTTCTTCTTTTCTTTTTTTTCATTCCTGTCTTACGCATTTCACCTAGTATCCGCCGGAAGAAAGAGAACGGAAAGGATATCTCTATAAACTGAACACAAGAACAAACACTTTTGACAGATCAACATGAGTCTACATGAAACTGAGAGCGGGTGTCACGGGGGAAAGAAGAAACTACGCCATGCGGCTTAATCGACTGGGGTGCACACCCGCATATTCATCAACGCCAGTTTCTTCAGCCTTGGTTTTCTTCTCCTTCTCCTGCTGGATAGACTTGGCGTTGCGCTGCCTCTCTTCGAAAAGCTTCTTGTTTTTCGCTTCGATCTTAGCTTTGCGGTTATCGTTGTTACCGCCACCACCAGCACTAATAGGAGGGTCAGTAAGGTGTACAGTAGACGGGAATTAGTACAGGACGGATACTCACGTCAATTCAACATTGATCCTCCGGGGAGGGTACTTCTTATCATCGAACATCGAGTGGTGATACAACTTGAGGCAGGTCTTCATGCGGTCGTAATTATCGAACTCAATGAAGCCGAACCCACGGCACTTGGTCGGCTTCTCCTTTTGAGTAGCAACACGTACTGAGACTGGGGCAATCTTTTCGAAATGGGCGGACAAGGACTCATGGTTGGCAGAGTAGGGAAGATTTCCTAGCCAAGCATATTAGGAATGATGGAATATTCATGGGGAGGGACTGGTCGAACGTACCGACAAAGCAAATGAACCGGGAGCCTTTCTGCTTCGGGGCGTCATTGTCAGCAGGTTCGGCTTGAGATTGCTGCCCGTTGGACTCCGGCTGCTGCTCTTGGGTCTCGGCCTTCTTCTTTTCCTTTCTGGCCTTCTTTTCCTGTTTCGCTTTCTCTTTCCGCTCTTTCTTCTCCTGGGCCTTCTTATCTGCCGTATCGTCACTCTCCTCGGTTGGCTTCTCATCCACATCCATTGCATCGGCGGTTTCCTGCTTCTTTTCCTCGGCACCGTTTACCTCCAGCGCATCCTCCTCGCTCTCATCCTTCTTCTCTTTCTTTTCTTTCTTCATCTTCTTTTCCTTTTTCTCTTTCTTGTCCTTCTTATCCTTCTTATCCTTCTTCTCTTTCTTCTCTTTCTTGTCCGATTTGGTCTGCTCCTCAGCACCGCTATCCTCCACCTTCACATCTTCCACAACGTCCTTCGACTTGCGCTTCTTCTCCTTTTTCTCCTCGCGCTTTGCCTTCTTTCCCTCGGGCTCAATGGCCTCCTCGGGGTTGTTTTCGACGATCTTGCGCTTCTTGTCGCCCATGTTGTTTATAATGGTCCCGCAAATTGGAATGAAAATAGGAAGGCGAACAAATAAGATGCAAATATATAGCCCCGATATATCAGCCACGTAAATAAATTAGAGAAGAAAGGAAACCCCGAAAAAATGTAAAGATAATAATGACGAAGAAAAAAAAGCCCGCATCAAAAGTTGGGCAAAATTGGTTTTTTTGCCGGGCGGAGATTGTTGGGCGGTGTAAGATCAAATGTGTTTGTTTCACATGTTCCTGAAATCGTGCCTCAGGCATTCAGCAAAGTAAAGTATACCAGAAGTATAGAGACGGAGACAGCCCCATGAGGACTCATAATGCTATCTTTCGATCAAAATCCAACTATATATATATATATCTGGATAGTCAAGTCTATGCTACACAAGATATAGCGCCAGCAAGGCATTGGTGGTAAACCATGAGGGTTATCTTCAATAACATCTTCCGCTAGAATATACACCTTGTTCGTAGTTATGTAGATGCACCTGTGATTCATGTGCTATCTTTCTCAGGAATGACCTTCGCCGTTAAAGGAGGAGCCGCTGCTAAGATAGTGCAACGTTATTTTCAGCAGGACAACAACCTGATATACTTCACATTCCTAATAACCAAAAGCTAATTCTCTCCGGAATCCCTAGCCCTAAAGGCCTCTTTCCATTCTCTCTTTCGAGGTACCCAAATTTCAAAAGAGCTTGTGTAGAAGCTTGATCAACAATAAGCATAGGACCAAGCCGGAACGTACAGTGGAATGCTTGATATTGAAGTAAAAGGCGAGGACATATCTTACATAGGCTTTATATACTTTGAAATACCCAATGACTAACCTACGTAGCCTTAGTCTACCTCTGCTCCCGACTCTTCCGATCAATAATCCAGCCTCGTCTAGCTATATTAAAGCGAGATGATTCCCAGTTAATCTACTTCACAGATGCTTAAGGGGTAAAATTCAGGTTTATTGTCAGCTTATGTCAGAACCGCCTCTGATATCATTTCTGCCCGTCAAATCCAATGAGACCTTGAACTAGTCGACAGCCGCTTTAGTGTAATCCTATGATAACCGTGTAGTAAGGAGACATTGGCACATAAGGCAGCATCCTCAAGCACAGAACAGCCTTGTTGATACAGATACAAACAGCCGGAATTCGCTCCTTTTCTTAACACGCATTTTAATCATCAGAAAAACGATATAAGTGACCTCAATCTGCCAAGATGGGATACATGAACCAGCCAAAATTCATGGAACTCTACACCTACGCCTTAGAGAGTGACTTTCAGAGTCCAGACGGCGAGCCAGCGGCATGGGATCCAGGACATCCCTTTCGCTGGGGTCAAGAACTTGATAAAATTCAACTCGGGGGGAATAGGGTCGTCCCTGTCCTTGAGTCCTGATGATCAATTCCTTGCGGTCGGAGTAGAAAAATACACCCACGTCTATTCTACGTTCACACGGGAACATGTGGAGACCCTGACGGGGTAGCTAGATGAGGTGTGGCAAGTGTTTTTCGCTCCTAGTAGGATCGAATGCAAACTATACACACTTGTCTCTTCTGCAGAAGGCTCGATCGTGGTCTGGGAGCTTGACAGGGACGGAAAGAATGTGTCTGCGGAGAAGAATGAAAACAGAGTAGATATCGGCACTCTTTCAGCCAAGGCAGCGGACACCGCTATATCCAAGCTTGTGGCTAATCACGGCTGGAAACTAGGTGGAGCAGGGACCAAGGCGATCGCGGAGGGCTTCAAGACAACTATAACTAGAGCCGTTGACATCCATGCCTTGAAGAACCAAATCACCTTAGACGGCAAACTTGCATTCGTATGGCGCACCTTTTAGCCCCGACGGGCAGAAAATGGTATATGTTACCCAGAATCACACTACTCAGAATGGGATGCGCGACGCAGAAACTCTCCCTTGCGTTAACATCTGGGATGGAGGTTAAATTTTGATAATCGACTGATGAGGAGATTTGCGAAAATTCAAGGAGTCAAGTTCATCGATGCCGGGAGAAAGTTGATGTATCGCTCTAGTGAGGGATTTACCGAAGTATATGGCTTTACAACCAACACGAAACAACAGTTTGCAAGGAGGCCTGAATGTCAGCTGGATAGGGCGAGCGCAGAAAGGCTGACGTTTATTCATGAAATTAAAATCCGTAGACGCAAAGATACTAACCCTTAATTCGCATGAATCTTCCACTATATTTCCCACGTGGATTATGTCGCTTTGCATCTCCGATGCCGAGAAGAGATGCATTCATAAATTGATGGATGCGGGGAAAGTGTCGATCATTCATCCCCATAAAATTGGCCGAGGACCACTTATTTTCTCCCAATGTTCAGCAACGCTCAGTCGCACTCCTGAAAATTCACTTTTGCAACTTGCTAGTACATTGCCAATTCTTCCATAGAATCGCAATGCGCCTCTTTGTAGGCCATTTCGTTCTTTCTTTTCTCCTTTTATTCCTCAATATTGGTTGCGTTTCGGCTGGAATCAACACATCGTGCTTGAAAGTGGTCACAGCGCTGGCCGCCCGCCCTGGGGATCTCTTTGCTAAATTCCAAGAGCACATCTGCGACCAAGGTTGTCGACCGACGGTCCCCCACTGGGACCTCTGGACGAGAAACAACTCCTTCCTCCCCGCAGTGCGGAGCGTAACGAAACGCTTAGAAGCGCCGCGACATGAAGAGGCGATGATTAAACTGGGAGACGACGCGGCGGAGATTATCAAGCGTCGTTGTGGTCCAATGCTGCATGGCAACGATCTTTGTTCGGACTCGGAGACCCTGGCGAACTTCGGGAATTGTTTCAAGACGAATTTCGTCCGGGCGGCGATAATGAATTTACCGACATTGTTGCCTATGGTTAGTGAGGAGGTCTGTCGGGAGCAGTATGAGTATCTTAAGACCGACAGGTTATGGGAGGAGATTATTCCGAACAATATGAGGGATTATGCCAGCGTGTGCCAAACTTTGGGAGATGGAGTGGCAGAGGCAGAGGAACAGGAAGGGGAGGAGGAGGAGCTCGACCATGGGATAGTGCATGAGGAATTATAGTCTATGAATGTATATATATATATATATATATATATATATAAGGCGATGTTTATATCAATACATGCTGCAAACGATGTTTTGGTATCACGGGATTAAGGCGCGGAGATTCCGCGGACATAATAAATGAAATCATTTAATTAGGGTCTAAACTTGTCAGCATCTCTTCCTCGTTCTCTTCCTCAACATATCCTCCCTGTTCCTTACTTTTCCTTATCCTTATCCATTGATCTCTTATAATGCTCTTGTTCCTGACTAATATTTACATGAGCGCACCATGATAACTCTGGTCTGATCAATATCTCTTTTTCCACCCCTCGACACCTTCGAATGGCGTCAATGACGTCGTTCGCCCGCGCACTGCGGTCCACCACTCCAACTGCGCACACGACCACCTGCTCTATCCTCCGATCGAATATACGTCCTCGCTCTCTTCCTCACTCCGTTTTCCTTCAGTCCACTCGATCTGTACACTCCGGTGCTTACCAGCCTTTCGTCCCGCCGTCCCCGAGCGAGCTAGGGAAACCGGCCCCCGCAAAGACCTATGATCGGTCCCGCAAATGGCTCCGACGCCTTGTCTATCTATCGCTAGCCACCGGCGTGGTCTATGCGATTGATACCCAGTTCTACGCATCATCCCTGACGAGAACAGCCCGAACTTTCACTTTAGGTTTAATTGTGGCTCTGGACTACAAGATCAACTTTCGACCAAATCCTCTCCTCGCCAAGTCCATCAACCATCTACACACTCGCAACGCCGAGAGACTGTCGGATTTGCTACGGCAGAATGGCGGCCTCTACCTTAAGATCGGTCAGGCAGTCGCCATGCAGTCGGCCATTCTGCCGCCCGAGTTCCAGAAGATGTTCTCGCGTATGTTCGACGATGCCCCGCAGAACGATTGGAAGGATGTGGAGAGGGTCATTCGTGAGGATTTTGGCAAGTCTCCGGAAGAAGTCTTTGGCGTATCGTTCGCAGGCGATCCCACTAAAGGTGTCATGGAGCGCAAGGCCAGAGCCAGTGCTAGTGTAGCGCAGGTTCATTGGGCTCGCTTGGCCGATGGAAGAGAGGTTGCGGTGAAGGTTCAGAAGCGAGAAATTGCACAGCAGATCCAATGGGATTTATGGGCGTTCAAGTAAATTTGTCCTTCCTTGTGAGCTGGCTTTGGCTACCTACTGACAAACGATAGGGTCGTGACCTGGGTCTATAGCCGTGTGTTCGATATTCCTTTTTATTCTTTGGTCCCCTATGTCAGCGAGCGCCTATTCCTGGAGACAGACTTCGAGAATGAAGCTGATAACTCGGAGCATATGGCCAGACTCGTTGCAGGCGAGTCACGGCTCCGAAATCGTGTCTACATTCCCAAGGTCTATCGTGAACTGAGCTCCAAGCGGGTCATGACCGCCGAATGGATCGAGGGCGTCCGCCTCTGGGATAAAGATGCCATCACACGCTCCTGGCGTGGTGGTTGGCGCCAGGGTAGCCCAGGGTGCCACGGGACTCCAATGGACTCCCCACGGTCCAACAGCACATCGACCAAGGTTCCCCGCAACCCGAATGCAACCCAGATCAAGCCGGAACGGGATCACTGGCGCGGATGGAATGGCCGCGGCGGACTCGGTCTCTCCCTGAAAGAGGTGATGACCACAATGATTGACCTGTTCTCAGCCCAGATGTTCCTCTGGGGGATTCTACACTGTGACCCGCACCCGGGCAATATCTTCGTTCGTCGCAAACCCTCTGGTCAACCAGAACTCGTCCTAATCGACCACGGCCTCTACATTCACATGGACTCAGACTTCCGACATCAATACGCCCGCTTCTGGAAAGCGCTCCTCACCTTTGACAACGCCACCATCCGCGACATCGTCAAACAATGGGGCGTCACAAACCCAGACATTTTCGCCTCCGTCACTCTCATGCGCCCCTACCAAGGCGGCGACCTCTCCACCCAGCAACACTTCGAAGGCCTCTCCAAGAAGGACCGCGCCCAGCTTCACTACGAAGCCCAACAAGCCGCTCGCAAGGGCATCCGCCAGATCCTCGGTGATGAAAGCAAATGGCCCAAGGAACTCATCTTCATCGGCCGCAACCTGCGCATCGTCCAAGCCAACAACCAATTCCTCGGCTCCCCCGTCAACCGCATCAAGATCACAGGTACCTGGGCATCCCGCGCCCTCGTCGAGTCTCCCGATCTACCTCTCAACGAGAAAATCCAGAACTACGGCCGCCACATCCTCTTCCGGCTCGTGCTCTTCACCAGCGATATTTACTTCTATTTCACGAAGATTAGACAGTTCCTGAGACTCGGTGGTGGGATGGAGGATTCGCTGGAGGCGCAGATGCAGAGTATGGCCAAGGATATGGGGGTTGATTTGCAGCAGAATGTGTTTGAGGGATAGGACCGCTCTTTACCTTCACTCAATGTATTATACTCCTACATATAGAGTCCTCACTCCAATTCTTACAGAAAACATAAATATATGATGAATCCTGCATGCATCGGCTCCGTATACATCAATACAAGTTTGACATATCACATTCTATCAAGTTAAAAAGACATATCTCATTCCTCATAGGTAGTGATCATCAAATATTACTAAGAAAATCTCAAGCTCGCTATGCACGAAACACAAGGATCCAACATGGGTACAGTATTCTCTTTAAAACTTACGAAATCACCCCGGAAAAGATTATACGCAAGGAAAAGTAAAAAGAAAAAAAAAAAAAAAAGAATCACAAGGGTATCTACCACGCCAACTAACAAACTAGCGAAATGAAAGCGATTGCCCCCACTACTCCCACCCGGAGAACCCAACAGGCTTCCACTCCTGGCCCGGATACGCCGTGCTGGACATCAGGATCTCTTCGCTGGAATCGTCGTCCGCCTGGACGGGTAACTCGACCGGGGCGTCGTTGTTGAGGACTCGGCCTTCGCCTCGCGTTGGGTGGATGTTTCCCGTGGATTGGGAGAGGGGGGCCATCGAGGGACGAGTAGCGGGGGTATCGCTGAGAGGAGGTTTTTCATCGTGGAGATTTTCTTGGGGTGGGCCCTTGACGTCCTCTTCGTAGGTGGGTAATCGACCGTTGCCGCATTGGAGGACGCCCTTGGTGGTCTGCTGGCGCCAGGCGAGGGCGTTGTCTGGGGGTCTGTCCTCGTCGGATTCGCCGGGGATAGTAAGTTTCCAGGGTCGTTCTTGGTCGCCGATGCGACTGGTACGAGGGTTTTGGCGGAAGATACCCAGGTGGTAGGCTGGGTCGGAGGTGTCGGTGCTGGGGATCTGTCTTTCTTCTGGGCGCGGGGCGAAGGTTTTCGGGCTGCGGGAGCGGATGTTTAAGTCTTGGGCGTAGGTTCTTTCCTCGGAACGGCCGCGGGAGGGTGGGGATTGTGGGGCAGGAACGCCGGGGGAGGCGACGGGGGATGCTCGTAGTGGGGATGTTAGACCGGGGGATGCGATCGGGGGTTGTTGATATGGGGGAGTTTGGGGGTTCGTGGATGGTCGGAAGAGCGGTGATTGAGGAGTGAGTCGACCGTTTCCGTTTCCACTGCCACTGTGTCGATGCCGGAAATAATCGGTCGGCGACGGAATGCGATTACTCGTGATGGTATTACTGTCCACGTCCTCGATGGTGATCTGCTGCGTCAAGGGGGTACCGGGTTCTTGAGGATCATTGAGCCGTGAGAAGGATTCTGGAGCGAAGTATCCCTCCGCGGGCGGGGGTTGACCCTGGAAGGAGTGGTTCTCGATATTCGATCGGGGCCGATCAAATTCGGCGGAGGGTAAGTGCGAGTGATCCGAGCTGGATGTGCGCTGTGATGAGACGGGATAAAGCCGGTCCATCGAATGGGCCTGACGCTGGATTTGCACCACCGGTGGAACGTGGGTTTCGGCCGCTCTTGATTTGGGCCGGGCATGTTCCGTTCGACGGTTGAAGAAGCCCTAATTGGAATATTAATATCACTGAATGGGTGAGCTTTAACAAGCCGCTTGGGTGAGTGAGCGAGTACGTGAGTGAGTGTGACACATACACTGATTTTGTCTAACGCCTTCCTGTGCGGCTGACCCGTCTTTACACCACCACCATGGGATTCAGAGCCCCGAGAAGGGCGACGAATTTTGTTGCCGACAACCTTCAACTTATCCATGGTCGATAAGGCAGTCTGCGCTGGCGCTTGCTTGGAGGCAGGCAGGGCGGGCGGGTTGGAGCAAGCATGATCGGTGGATTGGGAAGCATCGCGGGGTCTACTGCCTGGCAGAAGAGGTCGAAAGACACCGCTAAGTCGGCGCGAGGCATGTTCAGCCTCATCGCCTGGCCAGGGGCTCTTCGGCCTGCGCCCTCGATGATCGGGTCTAAGTATGCCGCCAAGACTTTGGTGCTGACCATCGCCCCCATCCGATAAGAATGACACTCGCGACGAGTTCGTCTGGCCTGGCGCAGTGGATTTTAGAACGTTAATTTACTTGGAAATTGTGGAGCAGCGTTTTATACTCACCGAGGACTTGACGCAATGGCCGTTGGGGGTCTCGATCAGCCTCGAGGGTGCCCAAGGATGAGACCGAGGGCACTGGTTGGAGTCGCACTGGCACGCTGGAGCCCCGCCGATGCTGACTCGGATCCAGCAGCAGTGTTGTTGCCTTATTATTATTATTATTATTATTATTAATGTCGCCATTCCTACGTTGGAGATCACTCGTTTTGGTTTCCATGACCGAGGAGTAAAACCGTTTCCCCATAGACGATGGGGCCCGAGTAGTCGTCGGTTCGCATTCGGGAGACGGTTCGTCGTACGCAGGCTGTGGCTGAACGTTATTTTGCTGGTCCATTGGATTGTCATCAATACTGTTAGCCTGCTCCGTCCACGCCAGGATTTTGTCGCCAATGTCGCGCTGGTCGCTTTTGTACTCGGGGATCAACAAAGGCGCGTCATTGATGGCCACCTGAATCGGGGTCATCGGGGGAGATTCATTCTTCTTCGACAAAGGCTTTCGGGGAGGACAATCCCTGCCAGGTTGCACGGGCGCTAATCGATGCGCCGAGGATGCACTATCGCCAGGCAACTCCCAATGCTTCTGGAATCCTGTTGGCGCAAAGACAACAGAGTCAGACATCTCCAATTCTGCCGTATCTCCAACCGTGCCTCGATAGGATACTGCATGACCTGACTGACCCGATCGCGAATCTGCATCACTGAAGCTGAGTGCAGCAGCAACTACTTCCTTGTCCAGATCCTGCGCCAGACCAGAACGGTGCCTATGGACGGAACATGGCTCAGGATCCGTGTGATATCCGGTGTCTGCTACCGCGCCCTCGACCGGTCTACGCGCCGAGACCGACGGGACTTGTTTGCGCTTGATGTCCAAACTCAACCGATTCACTTGGCTGTCTCGAACGCCCTTCATCACTGGGAGACTTCCAAAGTGGACCGTCCGTCGCTTGTCATGATCCTCTTCGGCTAGGTCTAGAGCAAGTTCTGAGAAAGAGAATTTTCTGCGATAACCCCGACTCGATTCAAACCCCTACAAATCACCATAACATTAGACGAGTTTAACCAGACGAGGGTATTAAGACCAAGAAAAATTCCAACCCCAATGTACAGACATCATTCATGTCACATTCTGAGTGCGGAGATATGTTCAATTACAGACATGGTATCAATAGGAACATAAACAAAACATCAAAGATCAAAAAGCATGCTGGCGCAGCGATGGATAATCCATAGGTCCCCACTCGCTCCCTGCACCGAGGAAACATGACATACCACCCACAATAAGAAAATTAAGGCTCTACCTTGTCTGACCCTCCACCTTTAAATTTACTCCTGCCCTTGGCAAACAGACCCTTGGCGGCTTCGCCAGCTTTGCCGCCGAAAACGCCAGCGGTGTGGAGGAACTCCTTCCCTCGTTGTTCCACATGCTGTTTATTCATCATGGAACCAAGATGGGTCGAAGAACGTCTAACATGGCCCGACCCGGACGACCCTTCCTGGTGAGACGACACGAGGTTCCCGAGAGACGGCAGCTTAGGGAATTTGGCCCGGGGCACAGGGTACTTGGACTCATCCGTTGTCTGTTTCAAACTTTGCTGCACGACATCCGCGTACTCGGGGTGGGCATGGATAGTAACCCGGAGCCAGTTATTTAGACCGGTATCGATCGTCATAAACTGTTCTCGGGTTTTGTTGAACGCTTGCACCCGTTCGTCGGACGTCTTCAACTCAAGGATATCACGGAAGCCAAGCAAGCTTGCTTCAATAGATGGCGACTGCGTTGGTGCATGTGCAGGCGCAGGTGCTACGGTGTCCTGGTTTGCAACTGCTGGGGAGTAGGCATCTCCAACGGTTTGGGCATTGACAACTTCTGGAAGATATCGACCCGAAACGATGCTGTTGTTGTCAGTGGCAGACGGGGGTATAATGGTCAGCTTGGGCTTCTCAGGCACATGATCACGTCCAGCCTCATCATGTGTCTCAACTGGTGGCGGAGCCACAGTGTCGGACTGGGGCTCGGGCTGGGGCTGAACACTGTTCTCATCAACCACAGGAAATTGTCCGGGGATCGGCCCTACTGGAGGGGATTGGACATCTGTCGCGGGCGCAGGCTGTTCCTCAGAGGAGGCAGACTCCCAAGAGAATCGCCTCTTCAACTTAGGGGTTATGTCTTGTTGCGGGGCTGCATTAGGTGCAGAAGTAGACGTCTGCAGTGGACTAGTGGAGTATAAATCCTGGGACTCATTCTGCGAGGGGTTGTACCCAAGGACGGGTTTAAACTCCTCTTGAGGACTGGCACTATTTGTTTCGTTCCAGTATCGCTCGTATTCGCTCGGAATGAGACTATCCTGCCGACTCGTTTGAGGCCTGGATCTGTCTTGTGGGTCCGCTTCCTCAGATGGAGTGTTCTCTCGGCTCAAAGAACGAATGATCTCCTTCCTTAATCGGTCACTCTCGGTGTCTTGCGGTGAATTTTCCGTACTTAAGGAGGGAACGATGGCGGGAATGGAGTTTTCAGGGGGAGACATGTTACCACTGATTTTCAGCGGTGCAGGTCGATCTTCTGCGGCGGCTGTGGTAGTTGGTTGCACGGTGGCTTGCTGATATGTTGGTGTGGACTGGTCCTGAGGTGAATCAGATGGAAGGCCCGACGACATCTCTGCTAATGATTCGGGAGCAATGGTATCGTTATTGGTGACTACTGGTCTTCTCAAAGGACTGTTATCTGGACTGGGAACACTCAAATCACGGCGATGACCAGGCTTAAAGCCTCTCGGTGGGGTTGAACTCTCCGGCTCTTCCTCAATCGTTGGCGTCTTCTCGCTTGTGCCACGAGGAGGAATGATCGGGCTTATTACCGACGTGCTATTGCTATCCGACCGTGTAATACTATCGATGGTAGTGCTCGGTGTCTCCGGAACGTCGAAAGCTTGATTAACCACCGACCGGAATCCGACGGAGGGGTTATGGTGTAACTGAGGTTCTTGCTGCTGTGGTTCTGCGGGTTGGTCTTTCTGAGCGTCAGACGAAGGTGCGGCCGTGAAATCTGCGCCGAATCCTGAGAGACGCCTGACATCCGGGAGCCCAATAATAGGGACATCATTCTGAGGTCTTGAAGGAACATTCTGGTTCTCGGGTTGCTTGCCTTTCGCTTCCTGTTCTGCCGGGCTAGTTACAGGTACTGGCTCAGTGGAGGACCGACTCAGGCTTGGAGGGTTCCCTGGCCCCGCTGTCTGCTCGCGTAACCGGCTATAGATGTGGGCCGGGCGTAGAGGGAGGTTGTGATCCTGTTCTTCTGCGTTGCGGTCGGCTGACCGACTACGGCTATCTGCCGCAGGGCCGGTACCTAGCGTCATTACCTGGTCCATTGACCGAGAGCGATCCATTCCAAGAGCCCAGGGCTTAGGTATGTTTCTGGAAGCTAAACTCGGGAGATCCCCGGTGCTTTGATTTAAAGGTTGTTGTTGCTGCGGTAGAGGAGGGGTTGGGTCCTCGTCGTATTCGTCGTACTCATCGTCACCCCAGTCATTGCCATCGTAAGAAATCTTCTTCGCTTCAACCCAGCGCTTCGTCTTCGCGCGATTCACGTTCGTTTTGAACGATATGGGTGTGCCGCCACGTGGTTGGGGCGACAAAGGGTTATCGGCGCCGGGAGAATCCCTAAAGATGCAAAGAAGCCTGATCAGCATAATCCCAAGGCTCCGAGAATGCATCCACCTGCATAGACTTACACCGGCTCGTAGGGGTTCTGAAATGGGCGAGCCATTATATAGGAGGGTCAGGTCGCCTGAACCAAATGGACCGCATCAACACAAATGCGCGTTCACTCGATGTGTGAAGCTGCCAAGATCTGATATGACTTGCGATATAATATTTGGCACCAGCAGAGTGGTAAAGCTGCGAGGATGGAGCGAGAGAGAAGAAGCAAGTAACAAGATGAGTGGTACAAGCGATGACGTGTGTGCGCCGGCTCAGCTGCGGGCAGGCGATTGGGGGCGTCTGACGTGTTCGAAATATATTCTTAGACCAATCCAAAAGAAAACAATCGTCGTATCGTGTGTGTTCGTTACCAAAATGAGTGAGCTGCTGCGGACGTGCCCCTGAAGGTAATCTCAAGTATTCGCCTGCCTAAAGCGAATAGATAGCGATGACTGTGGCTGGTAAGGCACCGATTGTGGCGGGTACATCACGTGGCACTTGCCGCCCGCGCCTTGCCCATTTTCGGATAGACGACGAATTCCCCGGGATTGCGAGGTACGTCTTCGGCCATTCTCTCTGCGACATCTCACCGAACCCCGTTCTCTCGGAGACTAACGATCTCTGCAAGTGCAATGATATGACACTCCCATAACGCTCCTACACCGCTTGTATCACCTCCTTTCCGCTCATTTTCACCCCCTGTCACTGTTGCCTTGTGGCTTTGACGAGCGGACACGTCTACAGTTGCCTCCTTATCGATTAGGTCAACCCCGTATAATCGCATAACCCATTACCTTAGATCCCCGGGTCCGCTTACCTACCCCCTCGAACTATCACCCGCACTCCACCTCACTATACGCTGCTAGCGAAATGACCGGCCCATCGATTCAGGATCGCACCGGCGAGTTCCACGCCATTCTGGGGCAAGCCCAGAAACGGGTGGCCACCACCAAAGTTGGGTCCCAGCGACAGGCGCTTCTATCGGATTCACAAAAGAGACAAGCCAATGGGTCCGCAAATGGAGGCGCGCAACCTGGCAGGAGATCTGAGTTTGCCAGGAAGGCAGTTGAGATTGGACGGGGTATCACTGCGACAACGGCAAAGTTGCAGAGGCTGGCTGAATGTGAGTAGGTGCTCTAGGGTGGATAAGCAAGATGTCTAACTGAGACCTCTAGTGGCCAAACGAAAGACGCTTTTCGATGACAAGCCGGTGGAGATCTCGGAATTGACATATGTCATCAAGCAAGATCTCGCTTCCTTGAACCAACAGATCGCCTCTTTACAAGCGCTCACGCTCTCCCAACATCCGAAATCGAACCGGTCAAAAGCGGACCAGGAAGGAGAGCATAATGATAATGTATGTACACGGCATCGACGGAATCCAACGCGAGCGGGTGATGCTAAGAATACTAGGTCGTGGTTATGCTGCAAGGCAAACTGGCGGATGTCGGAGCAAACTTCAAAGAAGTCCTCGAGGTTCGAACGAAGAACATCCAAGCGTCGCGCTCCAGGACAGAGAACTTTGTTTCGTCGGTATCCTCGAAATCGCAGGCGGCATTAGACACGCAACGGTCGGACTCTCCGCTGTACACCTCCGGCAGGAGGACTCCTCAACCGGGTGGCTCTTCCGACCTGTTGACTCTGGAACCTTCGAATCCGTCGCCTCTCGGACGGCCGTCTATGCATTCCGACCAACAATTGCTGGTGATGGAAGAAGCGCAAACGAGCAACTCTTACATCCAAGCACGCGGTGAAGCTATTGACGCGATCGAACGTACAATCAATGAACTGGGCGGCATCTTCGGCCAACTGGCGCAGATGGTCAGCGAGCAGTCCGAAATGATCCAACGGATAGATGCCAACACTGAGGACGTTGTGGATAATGTTCAAGGCGCACAGCGCGAACTAATGAAGTACTGGACCCGAGTATCTGGGAACCGATGGCTGATTGCTAAGATGTTCGGAGTCTTAATGGTGCGTGGCTTTCTCAGCCTCTTCAACTATGCTCCAATGCTAACCTGTAGTAGATTTTCTTCCTTCTCTGGGTATTGATATCAGGATAGAAATACCCCCCCCTTTCTTACTAATGTATTGTATTAATACGTATACTTTCCTTCTTGCTGTGCATGAACGAGTTATGCATGTCCCTTTTGAATATCATCAGCCTTCTTTCTTTTCCAGGCATGGCTAGATCTCATGTTCTCTTTATGTCTTTATTTCTTTATTTTCTCTCTCTCTCTCTCTTTTTTTTTTTTTTTCTCAAGATGAAACCCCAATCTAATCCTACAAATATCCAAGATCCAGTTGTAGATCATTTCCTTCATGAACAAGCAAAAAGAAAAAGTAGAAATTTTTTTTTTTTTTTCTCATTTCGCCTCGGTTGCTACAGGTAAATATTGTTGAATTTATTCATAGATCCATGCTGGCCTCTGATGTCTAGGCGTCGTTGATATGGACCAATTACATACTTTCTTGCCCCAGGCTGCCTCTTCTTTTTTATGATATAGAACACCACAATATCACGTCCAAGATCATACACACACACACACACACACACACACACACACACACAATGGTATATATTGTAGACCAAAAAGAAAAAGGAAAAGATCACTCCTCACAAAACTCACACCTCAAAGCAACCCCGGACCCATGCAAAACAGGCACCACCTCCTCACACTCATGAGGAATAGCCCCCCGCCGACAAATCTCCCTCTGCGCCGCCTCAAACCACACCTCGCTTAACTTCGGCGGCGTGAGCACCCCCGAGGCAACGAACTCCTCCCAATCCCGACGCATCTGCCACATGAACTCCATCCGGTTCGTCCACGTCGGCGAGTGGCCGCTCGTACCAGCAGCAGCCACCTTGACAGACTCATCCGTCGCAGCCGCGACGAAGAACTCCATGATCCGCTCCAGGGTGGAGGTGGTCAGGAGAAGACCGAGCCAGGCCTCGGTAGAAGCGGAAGTGATGTCAGGGGCCATGAGGCGGCGGACGGAAGAGCAGAGGAGGTGCATTGCGTGGTGGGTTGAGAGGAGGGTTTGGGTGTTGTTGAAGGGAGGTTGTTGGAGGATGGATTGCTGAGATTTGAGGGATTGATGCTGTGGGTTAGTAGATCTAGTTGAGGATTGCGGTTCCGAGGCGTGCGTTTCGAGGAAGAAAATGATGTATGCTCTGTTTTCTAATTATCAATTGGACAATGACTTCTCAGGAATATTGGATACGACAACATACACAGGAGATAAGAGACGGGATTGGAGGAGTCCGACGCCTTTACTATAGACGACCTCTTTTTCGGTCTTCGAGGACCACCACGAGGAGTCTTTCTGGAGGTGCTGATGGATTACGTTCTCGGCTAGGTAGTACGATAGCTTGATGCATGTCTTCCAGCAGCGCGTTAGGTCGGCTAGATAGCCGAATGAGTATTCGGGGAGGTCATCCCCGACCCCAGTCGAGGTGTACTGGGGTGGTGGCGGGGGGAATAGACTGGAGATGAAGGTTAGGTCATCTCCGACTGAGGGGACGAGCTCATGGCCCGTCTCTGTGATATACTGATATGGCTGGGTCCGGTGATGGAGGTAGGCCTGGGAGATTGCATATTCAAGACGAGAGACTCTGCCGCGCAGTATGCGACAAGAGAGCAGGAGGGAATAGATATCTTGTAGCTCGCATTGTGCGAGGACCTCCACCAGAATGTTGTCTGGGAGTCTTCTCCAGATTGATGGCTTCTGGGTGCTGGCACTACTGGGGATTTGGTTAGTCATTGGTCTGGGTTTGTCGCTGTTGTGCACACTTACATAGTCGACCGTCTTCGTAGCTTTGCGGAGTTTTTGGCTCTATGTATGATACTTCGAACCCTTTCAAGGACTGGGAGGCTCATGATTTATTCCCCCATGGAGGCATAGTGATTGAAATCTCGTTATGTTGATTGTTTCAGGTTTTCAGGGTTGGTAAGTTTAAATAAGTTTAGTTATTGGCCCAATGGGTGGTGATTATTCAGCTTAGGTACCAACAGGTTGGGAAATTAATGTAACTTACGGTTCCAAGTTTCTAAGCGTCCACTTAAGGTTGGATCGGACCAAATTAGTAGCTGCACACGAGACCCTGCTGGCTGCGTCTAGATTTCGTAATGAAAAAGAGATCCGGTAGATCATTCCTGGTTTTAGCATTACCTAAATCGTCATGAGAAAAGAGTTTAAATACACATCTCACACGAACCCTTTCTGCAACATACGGCACTTTATTTACATAGCTCTGGGGTGACTATTATGACCCAAGCTTCACAAGTCTTTCGCTAGGGGTTCCCGCGTATTCTCATGGCGAGTAAAACAGATATTGGAGAGAGCCCTGTGGAGACGTCTTAGGGCTCCTAGATATGCGGGATATGTGATGTCATTGAATGGGGGACGTGTGTTGTAGTCGGTGGTGGTTTGGGGAAGAATAGACGGAGGAGGAGGACATAATGGGCTGCATGCTTTTTGGGTCTTGCGAAAACCCAATATGATTATTCAGCAAGCATCTGTCGAGAATAATTCACTGTTTGTGAATTCTAGCTGGAAATTCTCCAGAAGATCATCCCACTGGCTCCAATCTAAGGGGCTGAGGTCAAACTTGTTAAGGGGATCAAACATCCCAACGTTACCGGGGGTGGTGATATCTTGCGTAGTTCGTCCTTGTGAGGTCCCTGATTCTGACATACTGGGTTCAGACCTCGGCTGATGAGATGAAGCGCCTCTCTCCGATCTTTCAGACAATACCGAAACGATATGAGGACGGGGCAACAGAGAGCGATTTCGTCGAGTACGCTCCTCAGAATGGGACTTCCAAGCTTTCAAAATCAGCCCCTGCATTGCAATGTCAAGAGGGGTTTTGGGCCTGTTTCTCATCTGGTCATAATGCCGACTGTATATACTGTCAATGAGGACCCACGATATCTTAGTTTCTTCTTCATCGATGCGGGTCTGGAGCTCATATAGTGCATAAATCAACGCATCCCACGGGATGTGGTTGTCCACGTGCCACAGATATCGTTCTATGATCTCGTTGCTCTGACAATCCTCGAATCCTTCCATGATTTGCACGCACGTGGAGAAGACGAAATCCCTTTCGGCTAGTGATACATGGCCTTTCTCGCCATACTGGCGGGGATGATGTGCGGAGAATCTCATTTGGCATACCACAGTCACCATAAGTCTAGCCGACATGTAATGCAATGGAATGGATTTATCGCAATATTGCAGGAATTTCGTTTCGAACGCGCGGTTCAGCTCATTGATTGCTTGATCTTTCGCTTCGTACGACAGCGAGGAAGAGGCCAAAAAGCCTCGACCTCCATGGGAGTCTCCACCGGCCTTGGACCAGCGCCTCATCCATTCACCAAATTCATTCCGTGCAAGGACAAACATCATTTCCGTTGCGCCATTATGTTCGCGAGGCGGATCCGTCATGCGTGGGTCAAGCTCACTGTCATTTATGTTTGATGGGGGTAGGACGTCAACAGAGAAATACGGGAGCTGCGAAGTGATGCCAGAACTTTGTGCCGTAGTGGCATCTAATATTGAGAGCTGTCGCCAAAGACGGCGGCGCATTTCAGTTTCGAAAATTGATAATCCAAGCTCAGATCCATCTCGATGGAGTCCAATCCGCTGAGCCATTCGCACCGCAACGCCACATAAGGACCAAATAGACTGCGAGTCAGAGGACGCACGCAGGGAAAGCTTGTCGGACAAAGTTAGCGGTAAGATCACAGCGTATCAGGGAGAGACTTACCAAGTACAAAACATATGCCTGGAGAACTACGGTTTTTGACGTACGTAAAATGCCAGCCTTGGTAAAAGCCAAACGAGCTCCGCGTCGGGATCTTGAGAGTAAAACAGCTTTGCTCTCTTTGTAAGTATTTTGTACATCTTCTTCCTTCAGTGAAACCAATGCGATACAGTATATAGAGAACATCAATGCCTCAAACTCCTTCGAGACTGTGTCTAAGCTGCCGCTGGCTTCTAGAAGCTGTTGCTGGACGGTTGGACCGTGCAGTATCTTGATCAATGGATTGACATTTTCAAGGAAAGTTTGCCAAAGTTTGAAGATGTGTAGCGGAGAGGGATGAAATTCACTCAGGCTTTTCTTCCCTGTTCCGCCCATGATTAAGGAGGTTTCACCATCCGCTTCCTGGACAGAACGATTTGAATCGTTGTCGGACATGTCCCGTAACACATCCTCCGCCGGAGGAAGCTAGACACAGAGTTAGATTGCATTACGAGGAAGTTAGGTAGGGAATCCTGACCTCGCCTCTGACGCTAGTCCAAACATTACTATTTTACCAGTTAGCCATTTGTGAATCGCTGTTCATTGCAAGGTAGCTCAACCTGTCCAGATAGATGGATTTCCCGTCGCCTGTAAGCAGCATCCCTTGCTCAGCCCTTGAAGCACTGGGGAAAGCATTGTGTGTGGTTGCTGGATGGTCTATGTTGCGGATACGAGCTGACGCGGCGGTGTCTTGTCTAATAGGACTCTGGTAGGAGAAGCCGCTTTGTCGGCGATCCTCCTCCGAGCGCTGCCTCTTGCGGCGGCGCGGAGGGATATGAGTAGGGAAAACACATTCAACTCCGCGTTTGATACAAGCAGAACAAGGATCATTACGATCACACCTGACCTTTCTTCGCGCACAGACCATGCAGGAAGGGTTCTTAGGGGTTTGGTAGCTAACAGTCATCGGACTCTGCTCAACGACCACTGAAAGGCGGTCGTTGAGATCTGCCATGGCTAATGCGTACCCTGGATGGATACAGTACACCCCATTTATATTTGACTAATTAACCGAAGATAATGGATTTGCAAGGCGTCGTAGTAGATGGAGATACACATCCTTGCAGATGCAGAGTGAAAGTCGGAAGGCGGAGCCAAAGTCGGTCCGAATTATTCTCTTGTTTTTGCCGGCTAGCAACTACTTCCGAATTAGGCAATTCCCTAGCCCTGAGTTGCGATGCAATTCCTGTGCACATCAATCTGGCAAAGAAGCAGAGACACAGTAGTTGTTCTCTCTCAATCTAGTCATATACAACCATCGTTCCTATCGCTTTGCGACCGCAATGCTGCCGCTTTTTTGTGTGCTTCCCTGGCGACAGGTGATTGATCAATAGAGAGATCGAATGTATCTACCTACCTACTAGTATACATGTACAGTACGTCTTGATTTTTGACAAGTACGAGCCAAAAATGTTGAAATCCACTTATTGGATCAATGAGGTTGACAAGTTGAATAGATATAAAAACGTACGACTCACATTATCTATACCCAAAATGGTTTTTTTCGTACAATTGTGATCTACCGACTTTTTTTCGTTGCAGCTATAGATACAACCACGTCTTGACGAGCTCGGGCATAGTTGAGTCTTATAAGAATGCATAAATATCCGACCAAGAGCACTCAAACCGTTGAATGATCTATCATTGGCATTTCAGCCTGATTTTGGTGCCCTCAGCCCCGGTCTGGGTTTCCCCTTTTGGGGCGTTCACAGAGCCGGGCATGCAGCATTTCTCACCCCTCGCATGCAAGCGATGGCCAACCCCAAAAAGGGTTTGAGAGCCGAGAATCCTCCAGTCCAGAGTTGTTTCATCTTCGTTTAACCTTGAACTGTTGCACGTGAAGAAATAATTAAGGATTTCAAGGGTTGAAAGTGCAAGGGCACAAAGAAACCTACGAAGGAACTGTCTCAGCGATTCTTACAATGCTCCGATAGCACAAACTTTTTTTTTTCTTTCCTTGAACAGTGATTGCCCCAAGAGTTTATATGTAGCACATTATCGTATTGCGCAATTTCTAGTTCAACTAGAGATGGCAGTGCTGCAAGTTTCTGTACGGTGACTTGGATATATCATTACTAACCCTGCGAGTGTGACGAGGATGAATACGCCGCCTTAACCAGGATAAAAGAAGTCGTCTTGGTCCAAGAAGAAAGCGCATACAGACACGATCACTTCTGGGCAAGCCGTCATATGTGGCTTGGATGAGAAATACTTTGTCTCATCTTGCATACGACGGCCATTTACTGAGGACCTCTCGTCAAGTTGGCCAATGGTAGGATTTATCAGCAAGATACAGAAGGAAGCGCCGAGAAATAGCAAGCGTCACACTTGTCTGGGCTAGAGAAATAGTTCATAGGAGCGATAAGCATACACTATTCGTGATTCTTGTGTGGGAGGGGATAGCGGGGATGGATTTTCTGGGCAGTTTCATTGCTTTTGGTATTTATTATACAGTTCAGTTGCTACTTTATATTCTGATGGAGTGATGTATTAGACCTTCTAATATGTTCTCGATGCCTTATCGAATGCTTCTTAGTCCGGATGACTCCGGCAAAGAAAAAAATAATAAATAAATAAAATAAAATAAAAACGGGGCTTAACTCCATAGGCAACAAAATGTGATTGACACTGAGCCGAGAACCTGCCAAGGCCAATAATTCTAATCCTCCCCAGCGTGGCTTGGTTGAAACCAAGGTGGAAGCAAAAGAAACGAGGGGAAGTACTCCGTAGATACGCGGCGTGGGAGGCTGTGCTCTCACATAGCCAGAACACTGGGTATAGCGGCTATAGCCAGACAACGAACCGTCGTTTGTTGAAGATCATCCCTGGGCCAAGTAAATTTAAGAGAAACTGATAAGGAACTAGATACCACTAGCGACCACTCGGCTTCGCTTGTTTGCCGATCGTCTTGGCAGACGCTGGGTTCTTCACCCCGGGGCCCAGACTCGGCGATTGTATGTATTTATGTATTTCTTGCGGTGGAAGATGATACGGATCTAACCTCTTTTTTTTTTCCCTTGACAATGATCGTGACCGCTAGGATAAACCCTTATCCTTGCCACATGTTTTAACGCAAGATGACTGTCGATTTTGGTTGTGTTGAGCCAACCACGTTTCATATTATGGATTGAGATCCTGGTTGCCGATGGTCCATCCTAAGGTTCGTTATCATGTTCAGATCTCCACTTCAACGAAACACAGCCCGCCGACCCCGGACTGCCGAAAAAGAAAAAGAAAAGAAAAGAAAGAAAGAAACAACGGGGCACACTTCACCTGGGGAGACGGACCAATTTTCTCCCGCTTCATCGTCATCCGCCAAGATCCCACTCTTTCTGATCGGTTCGCGGTCTCCTATTTCTAACGCCCGGTAAATAGAGATGCCTGGGGAAAAGAAACCTTGGCGAACCCACCGATCGGCGGAAGACCACGGATAAGAGAGTCAGCATTTGGGTTCATGTTGTCGTTATTGACTTTAGACTTTAAAGCCCTGGTTAGGCCCCGACGAACGGAGCGCCGCAACGAAAACAGCATGCAGTCATGACGCCTTCGGATGGCGCCAAGGGCTTGCCAAGGTGGATCTATGAGACGAATCCAATCTCAGGTAGAGGAGATGATAACACGGTACCCAATTGATACTTTACATGAAGTTTGTTCGGACCCAATATGCCAGATATTGGCCGGCCTGAATGTGTCCAGGTGCTATAGAAATGGGGTTATCCCGGCATAGTGGAGTTGATCATGTCTGAAATGCTGTTTCCGGATGTAACTCCAGCACGAGTTCTGCACGGATATACTTACTTTTCGTTATCTAGAGGGCACATGTCGGGTTGACCCGCGTTGGGCTGATGACTTCAGTATCTCCCCTTGGCACAGATGTTGTGTCTTGGGGGTGGAGAGGATCTTCGTAGCATAGTTATGTCCCACCAGCTTGAACTTAAGTAGAGGGAGTTGCTACTAGTTCATTGCATTCCCATTGCCCATCCTCTGGACGAAGCCCTTGCTAACCAGCACTCTGCCCCTTTCTTAGCCCATCGTATAGTCCTCATTACTGTTTAGTATCTACCAATAACACTATGCATCACGCTCCTCCTCCTCCTCCTCCTCCTCCTCCCTCTTCATCGGGGGACCTCCCTCTCTTTCCAGCTTCAGAAAAGAATCAGTCCATCAACTGGCACCCGTCATCACTTGCCAATCCACCTGCATCCCGAATAGAAGATAATTCAAAAGAAACAGGGGGCACTTGGGGTGATGGATGCAGTGCGGCGACATCCCTCGCAGATAATCAAGACGAGACAACGCTGTGCTCATCACTGGCGCGGCACTTCCGCACCAACATAGACACTACGCACACTGACATCGTCCTCATCATCTGTGGTTTCGTCAGTGGTCTTGTAGATGGCCTATCGTTCAACGCCTGGGGAAGTTTCGCCAGTATGCAAACAGGTGTGCCTCTAGCTCCCTTCTTAGTTCTTCCCAAACAACCACTAACCAACCACCCGCAGGAAACAGCGTCTTCATAGCCCTTGGCGTCTCAGGCCAGCCAGCTTACCCAGCTTATCTCTGGGCCAAATCCCTAATTGCCTTAACGGTCTTCATAACCAGCAACATTCTCTTCATCCATGTCTCGCGGGTCCTCGGGCCCCGCCGCCGCTCAACCCTAATCCTATCTTTCGCCGTTCAAACTGCCGCCCTCCTCGCGGCAGCCATACTCGTCCAGTTAGGGGTCATCAACCCCAAACCCGAAGATCCCCGAGCCCCCATCGAGTGGATGCAAGTCCTGCCTATCTCGCTTCTGTCTTTCCAAGCGGGTGGACAAATCGTAGCGTCCCGGGTGCTGGGTATCGACGAGATCCCGACTGTCGTGTTGACTACGCTGCTCTGCGATCTGCTAGTAGATCCGAAGTTGACCGAGAAGGTTAACCCAAAACGCAATAGAAGGGTAGGGGCCTTTCTGGCGTTATTCTTGGGTGCCATGACTGCCGGGGGGTTGTCGAAGGTCACCGAGATGGCGGCAAGTTTGTGGTTTGCTTTTGGATTAAAGTTTCTGATTACGGCTGGGTGGTTTGTGTGGAAAAGGGAGGGGAGGAGAGAGGGAAAGAGGGATGTTGAAGGTTGAGGGTTGAGGGTTGAGGGTTGAGAGTTGAGAGTTGAGGGTTTGGTTTGGTTTGGTTTGGTGTGCCTTTGGCTTTTTTTTTTTCTCATCTTTGAACATTTTTAATGATTCATGAGTTTGCTTTACAATATGTTTGAGCCATATGCTTGCGTGTTTGGTTATGACATTGCTGTTCTTAGCGGTAGCTCATGCTCAGGAGTCCGGTTATAGACGTCTTATCAAATGAAACTTAAGTCTTCTACCATATTTGTGTGTTTATGTGTTATATGTGCTCTGGCCGTGAAGCAGTCTTGGAATGCATGTGAAGACGGAAAAGTCGGATTTGCAACCAAGTAGTATGTATACCTGCACAGTCTTTGATTTAAAGTTGCTAACGAGCCGATATATATGGTATGTCATCTCAGGCATAGGTTTGACCATGGATGTATACTTGTTGTTCTAGAAAGGCCTACGCCTCGGTCCAAGTCCCTGGAAGTGGAACCTGCGGAGACCCGAGGCTAAACGCTTGGATACAAATCACCAGCTCCGCACTTTTACCATCAAAGCGCCCGCTTATCTCCCGTTGAATTCAAACATCAATATGCAGCCAGATTCAGATTCAGTTCTTGTGAGTTCTACAAGTGACGGAATTACTACTATCAAAATCAACAGACCTCATCGAAGGAACGCCGTCGACCCAACTACCGCAAACATTCTCTATGAGAAAATCCTAGCCTTCGAAAACGACCCCTCACAGAAAGTATGTATACTCACTGGGATGGGCGATACATTCTGTGCTGGTGCCGATCTTCATGAAGTAGCTGGACAAGATAGTCGCGACGCTATCGGCAACGAAACAAAAGAACGACGTAGTCACTTTCAAGCGCCACCGGAATCTGGCGAACAATCTCTAGGCCCGATGGGCCCATCACGACTGCAGGTCCAGAAGCCTATCATCGGTGCTGTCTCCGGATATGCAGTGGCAGGTGGGTTGGAATTAAGCCTACTCTGCGATATCCGCGTGGTGGAAGAGGATGCCGTGTTCGGGGTCTTCTGCAGACGATGGGGGGTACCACTTATCGACGGAGGCACAGTTCGTCTCCAGGCAGTTGTTGGATTGGGAAGGGCACTTGATATGATTTTGACTGGACGTCCAGTCAGTGCGACCGAGGCCTTGTCTATGGGGTTAGCAAATCGTGTTGTGCCAAAGGGGAAAGCTATGGAAGAGGCCGCAGCTATTGCGAAGCAATTGCTTTCGTTTCCGCAGCTTTGTATGAATGCGGACCGGGACTCGTGCTACTATAGTGCGTACCAGGCTAGCTCGTTTCAGGATGCACTGAGGTATGAGTATGAGAAGGGCGTGAAAGTTTTGGACCTTGAAAGCATCAAAGGAGCTGCTCGATTTAGTCGCGGCGCAGGGAGGCATGGAAGTTTTAAGAATGGTTCACGTCTTTAAGTTCATTCGGGAATTGCGCATATTCCTTGGACTAATGGCCCATACCAAGTGTCGGGACAGGCGATCGGGGTTTTTTGTTACAGTCAGCATGAATATTCTTCAAAAGACTCGCGAAACCATTCGGATATAGCTTCTGTTAGGGCAGAGAATATCCTTCTTTCAGAAGCTCAGATATATGCAGAATTCCGAAGCTGGGTTTATTTGAGAGAGCTTGTGAATCCATTAAACCTTGCATAACATTTAAGAATGTTAGAAATGCCCATGGGAAGCATGGCCGTAAATGGCCATAACGCTTGTATATAGACGTGTCTTGTATTAATAAATTGCATGAATGAAACCAATGTGGTGTATGCCAAAGGTAGTGCTCGTTGCTCTTTATATCTCGAACAGGCCTGAATTAGCAAGGCCCATATCCATATTAGAGTCTACACTGCTGCCATGCACTGCTGTCTGATCTGTTTCTTTTGCTGGGAGAAAGCTGCAGAGACCTTCCAAACGGGTCTAGTTGACAGTTGAGAACCACATGGGCTAGGCCAGACAGTGGAGGGACGGATACAGCAGCTAGACTGAAGAATGATCCACTTGCCGTACGGTGCGGTGCGAATTAGGTGCTGATGCAGTAGTGGGTAGGCTCTGAACTGTGGCAGAGCATTAGAACAAGAGTCTAAAAAAGTCAATACTAAATAGAGAGCCATGTCTCAGGGAATCAAATAAACCACGTAAGCTATTGACTGACCCTCCCGATCCAACTGAGAGGGACGACTGGTCGGTCCAAACTTTGATAGAGTCATTTTTGACACCGATTCCTGAGGCAGTGATTGGCCAGCCTTACATCGGTCAGCCACGTACAAACATGCTAAAAATACCCCCTGACCAGCCACACGCTAATACCTTTTAGGCAAGTATCTACTGATTAGACGCGTAAGGCAGCACTCATAAATATTCGACTTCAAGATACAATAAACAGCACAAAGACCTCATTCCAGTTGTTCGACGTTGTAAAGAGGTAAAATCACCATGGCGCCACACTATGCGATGCTCGATACAAGAGCCCTCGATGCCGCAAGCTCTCATCTCGCCAAGCGCGACCTAACCGTCACTCACACACAAGCGGTGACGCTAGGAGTGATGGCCGTGTATGTGGTCGTTATCGCGCTTTTATGGAACTTACCCTATCTCCGATGGTCGCTGTGGCCTTTCAAGGTGAGAAGGACTTATTTAATCTGCTAATATCTATGTTACCAATAGGCTGACCGTTGATAGATGCTGGTTATTGCTTTCCATGAGTTTGGTCATGCGATCACCGCGTGCTGCACCGGGGGCAAAGTTGAATCGATCTCCCTTGATCCCCATGAAGGAGGAGTTACACATATGCGGGGTGGAATTAGCGCCGTCACCCTTCCTGCCGGATATCTAGGATCGTCCATCATCGGCGCCCTTCTGATTTTCGCGGGGTTCGATATTGTTGCGAGCAAAGTTGCTAGCATTGTTCTGGGTGTCTGTTTCCTGCTTACGCTGTGGTGGGCCCGAAGAGACTGGCTGACCATCGTTACCATTCTCTTAGCGGTCGGGCTGCTGGTGGCGTGTTGGTTCATTGCACATGGAGAAGCGCTGAAGTGGGTGGTGGTAAGTAACTAACCTGTACTGTGTACCTCTTCAACAGCCGGGTTACTAATGTGATCGCAGCTTTTCATCGGTGTCATGTCTGCTCTTTACAGCGTCTGGGATATTGTGAGTCTCCCCATACCCATGTTACCCGCTCTTGCTAACCACACCTTGAATAGTGCGACGACCTCATTATTCGAAAGGTCAACACTTCAGATGCCAGCGTCTTTGCCAAACGCTATGGCGGCTCTTCGCGCTGCTGGGGTGTTATCTGGTCCATTATCTCCCTCTGTTTCATGGCCATCGGCATCATTGCTGGCATTGCAGCATTCCGGGAGTCCTTCAGCGAGCAAGAAGACTCCTCGAAGCATTTTATCCCGACTATCTAAGCGAGTACTCGACGATTCTTAGAAGCGGGTAGTATCACGAACATCTTTATCGACGAGAAGACGATTGAAGCCTGTAATCCCGAATTGGTGTTGTCTGGATTTTCATTTCCTTATACCCCTGTGTTTCTGCTATGAATGAGTAACGGATTGAATGTTATATCCCCTTTCTCGAAGATGGTAGTTTTTGGATTCACAATACGTAGTAGTGATACGCTCAAGAAACTCAAGGTTATTAGAGATTAATCTATGGAACGGACTCATATTTACTGCCTAACTACATCTGGTTAGCTTGGTGGGCAGTTTCTTGGAGAGCCAAACATCCCCATTTTCCAACTACTACTGCCTACAGTATACAAGTTTGCATTAATATTGCTCTCACTCTCAACAACGGCTACTATAACCCAGCATTCTTCAACACGCCAACAGAGCTATATAAATTAATAAGGGATAGGCTATTCTTTCTGTAACAGTTACTTTTCATTCACATAATGGGAGCGATTTTGTCCAGGATAAGTGAAACTTATCACGCCTTAGCTGCTTTCTGGTCAGAACTCTCGCAGAATGCCGCCGAGAGCAATGCCCTTCTACGACGCATCGCTGCCCCCGAATTTCCAGTCCCAGATCCGACTGTTTCGTTCTGGCAGACTGATCCGAAATACCCAGAGCTAGTTAACGAGAGATCGGAGGAGCTTCCTCAGTCAGCAGATGTTGTGATTATTGGCTCAGGTATCTCGGGGGCAAGTGTAGCTTACACGATTCTTACGGAATGCCAAGCATTGGGCATAGAGAAAAGAGTTGTGATCTTGGAGGCGCGCCAGGTGTGCAGCGGTGCAACAGGAAGAAACGGCGGTCACTTGAAGTGTTCTCCCTATTTAACGTATTCCGATCTGAAGGCGCTGCTCGGCAAAGAAAAAGCGAAAAGAGTGCTCCATTTCCAACTCAGACATCTTCCTACAATCTTGGAGTTGGTCAAAGACGAAGGTCTTGATGAAGCAGAGGCCAGGGAAGTGGAAACTGTGGATCTGTTTACCGAACAGACAATATGGGACAAAGCGCGGGAAATGGTCCAAGAACTACGACAGGATGCCCCGGAATACGCCGAGGACACTATGGTTTGGGATGCTAAGCAAGCACGGGAGGTAGGTGAGCTGTGACTGCCGAAATATTCTCCAGCTGACTGGGGTCCAGCAATTTGGCGCAAGCAGTCATTGCCTCGGAGCGATTTCGTACCGTGCCGGCGCCATGTGGCCTTACCGACTTATTACTTCGATTTACATGAAACTAAAGTCTAAATACCAATCATCCTTCGTCATTGAAACGGGAGCCACTGTCCGGGAGATACACGTGGAGGATAACGACACTACACCTTACCTTTTGTACACGTCCCGTGGTCAGATACGCGCCACACACGTTGTCCATGCTACTGATGCATATGCGCCGAACTTGATCCCTGGGCTAAAAGGTAAAATATTCCCTGTTCGTGGCCATATGTCTGCCCAAAAAGCCGACGGTCCCTCATCTCACCTAGACGGCTCTCGCTCCTGGAGTATTATTGGCAAGAAAGGGTATGAGTATATCACACAGCGACCCCGAGAATCCGCAGACCCTCACAGCCCTGGTGGGGAAATCATGCTGGGTGGCGGTTTATATAAATCAGATGGCAAAGGGATGGATGAGATTGGGATTTGGAAGGATAAGTGTGTCGACCCTACTATCAGCGCTTACTTGAGTGGAATTTGGTCAACCGTTCTTCAAGGCGAACATGCCCGCGTACTACAACTATGGACAGGATGTATGGGATTTACGCCCGATCTCGTTCCTTTTGTCGGGGAAGTCAGTCCAACCTTCACGAAGCGGCGGAGGGCCTCCAATAAACGCAAAGCAACGGCCTCCGAATCCGGAAGTACGCCGGCGAACGAATGGATCACAGCCGGTTTTAATGGCGATGGAATGGTGCTGGCGTGGCTTTCGGGGACGGCTGTTGGACTCATGGTTTTAGGGCGTGAGGATGTCCACCTGGAGGCTCGAGCCGGCCGACCAGCAGGCAAAGTCACGGATTGGCTCCCGAAAGAACTGTACCTTTCCGAATCCAGAGTTCGTGACTTGAGCATCTTCAAACTTGCGCGATTTTTGTAAGGGTTTTACCTCGGCAGCATGACAGAACTGGTTCAGTATACGATGAAGACTTAGGGGAAGAAACACAGTGTTGAGACAGCACATCACCCCATTCGAGTTTTCAAAAGACCTAGACTTACGTCGGAGTACTGGACTATTGCTGGGCGTTCCGATCTGAAATAAACTTACCTACAAATAGATTGGATCCTGGAGTTGCCACCAGTAAGCGACCCGAGAATCTCCACCCAAAGGCCCCATAACCCTAAGACGAACCACCACTAAGCATAACTCTAACCCTATAGTACAAGGCTTTTATCGTAGAGCGGACCTTTCCCCGTGTCGCATCCCGTTAGCCGTCCTCGCCATGCAAGACGGTACCACATGCTCCCCCATTTTTTTTCTTGATCATGCATCCATAACTTGCACCAACTACTTCTTCGACGTGCATTGATGCGGGGAGCAGTGCGGATCTTTCACCGTGTTGAAAGCAGGAGCACGAGCCAAAATCTGGGGTTAACAGGCACTATGCCTGTGTTATGTGGGTAGAGGACTTTATATACGGATCACTACCCCGTGGGGATGAACCAGATTCCCCAGCAAGGCCTTATCCACCTCTCTTTTATCTGTTATCATGGGCACTGGATCAGTTCTTGAAAGCAAGCCCTCGGTGGAAAACCGGGAGGCGGTTGATGATGCGAGCTCCAACCACAACATCGAACGGCAGCAGGTTCTGTCCGTTGGGCTCAACGATGCTCTCACCAAGGAGCGCATGTCGCCCTGGTCATGGGCAATGGTCCGTTTGTATGGTCTTGTTGCTTTAACTACCCTAAGTAAGGGATTCTCTATATACCTCTCTACTACGATTCTCCCTTCAATTGCTGACAGGATAGACTGTTGTATGAACGGATTTGACGGTACCCTTATGTCCTCCATTAATGCTATGCCCACTTTCCATGAGCACTTCGGCACCCGCATGCAAGGTAGTGGCACTGGTATACTCTTTTCCATCTATGCCATAGGCAATCTGGCGGGCGCGGTGGTTGCTGCACCCGCCGCAGACACCTTTGGTCGGCGCTTTGGCATGTTCACTGGCTCACTGATCATCATTGTGGGCACAATACTGGAAGCCTCCGCCCCCAAGGTTGCCCAGTTTATCGGTGGCCGGTTTCTGATCGGAATGGGCATCAGTATATCGAACACGTCAGCACCGATTTATCTGGTGGAAATTGCTCTTCCCCAGTGGCGTGGAATCTTCGGAGGGTTATATAACGTCGTGGGATATTATATAGGGGCATTAGGTACGACATCATACTTCTCACATACCACTCATCACTGACAATTCTTCCACAGCGTGCACGTGGATTGCTTATGGAACAGGGTTCATGAATACCAACTGGTCATGGAGGCTCCCGGTTGTCATTCAGGCTGCTCCTTCGGTCATCGTTTTGGCGGTGGCCTTTTTCATGCCCGAGAGTCCTCGGTGGCTCTTTGCCAACAATAGACCCGAAGAAGCCCGACAGATGCTGATCAAATATCATGGTAATGGTAATCCGGAATCTGCGCTTGTTGCCCATGAATGTCGTGAAATCGAGGAAGGCATTCGCTTCGAGGTAGAGACAGGGGGCCGGCGATGGTGGGACTACAAAATCCTGTTCTCATCCCGGGACATGCTATATCGTCTCTGGCTTCTCTTCCTCGTTTGCGTCTTTTCGCAATTCATTGGTGGATCAGTCATTACGTGAGTCCTCCCGATCATGACTAGACAAGCAGTACTAAATCAAGCAGATACTTCATGCCGGTCATGCTCGAGAACGCCGGAATCACTGGCTCGTCCCAGCAGCTGCTTCTTAATGCTCTTAACACAGTATTCTCCTTTATTGGTGGTCTCTGTGGCAGCTGCTTCGTCGACCGCTGGGGCCGCCGTACTCTGTTCCTTTACGGCACCTTTATCACAGGATTAATCTATATCCCCATCAATGTTATCTCCTCTTACGAATCAGAACGCCTCACTACCAGCATGGGCTATGGGTTCATCGCTTGTATTTTCCTCTACGGTATCGTCTTCTCGTTCAGCTGGACTCCACTGCAGTCACTCTATCCTGCAGAGATCCTCCCCAGCCGCGTCCGAGCCAAGGGAATGGCTTTCCAGAACGTGGTGTACGGTGGCTCCAACTTCATCAATATGTACGCTACGCCGACGGGGATGGACAACATTGGTTGGCGAATGTATATTATCTTCCGTAAGTGTTCTCCTTTCCAATGAGCTGCCGATCAAACTAGCTAACCCCGGACAGTGGTCTTGCACTTCCTTGAGTACATCTTCATGTTCTTTACTCTTCCGGAAACCAAGGGCCGCACTATCGAAGAGCTGGAAGAGCTTTTCCTCGAAAAGAATCCCGTCAAGGCATCTTTGAAGAAGAAAGAGGTGGTCGTCCGTGAGGGCATGGGCGTCAAAGAGGTTGACGTATAGGAGAGGCGATTAGGCGACCGAGCAAGTCTCTCACTCTACCTGTTAGTCTCTATATCTGTTTGTGTTACCCCGATACTGTTGTATACTCTCAAGTGCTCCGTATGTAGTCGTCGAACCCGGCATTAGCATAATCTCACATTTCATCTCCGGTTGACATGCAAAGTAAAAAATAAAAATAATCAAAAAAAGAGTATACGCAAACACGCAATTAAACTCAACCATAGCTGAGCCTCCTATTACGAAGTCACTGCAACCCCAAGGGGCTGAGGCAAGTGGCACGTCGATCTCCAGACCCTTCGATTTCGTACCTTACCTGGAATACTCCTGAAGCACGGTGAGATCCACTTTCCATTCCAGAACAGGAAGATGATTGCTCGAATGCCGAGTTAATTTATCGACGGAGTGTCTGGTCACCTCGTATTCTGCGGTGACTCGCCAATGGCATCTTAACAAACCCGCGCCGATCGACTCCATCCCCACCCGACATATTGACCATACTCTGTATGGACACTTCTCGCGAGAAGTTTGATACTTGGTTGAATTCCATTCCCACCATTTCACATGTCATGTTGCACCGGATTACTCAATTTTTATTTAGAAAAAAATTAAAATAAAATTATCTACGACCATGGGAACATGAACAAAACTAGTCCAATGCTTCGCAGAGTCTATGTCTTATAATTAGTTTATGGTGGGAGGCAAATGAGTTAACGTGGGGGGTCCAATCTCAGAATCTCATGTAGATCCGACTATCCAGAAAGGGCAATTATCGTCCTGAATACGATCTCGCATGTCCATCTAGGAATGGTTTGTATGAATGCCAATCCTGAACACGACTGGTGAGCATAGCTCGTAATAAAAAAAACGTTTGATTCCTTCTCTTTCATTTCATTTCATTTTTCCTCTCCTTCCCTACTTACTTCTATACTTCTATACACATACTCTATCACTCTATCAACCATCAAACCAGCCAAGAATACCATCTCTATCAGTTCCCAAAGCACAAAATAACCAGAACAACAAGAAAATCAACCGAAACTCACCCGGGGGACTCACCAAAAACAAAAGAAAAGAAAAGAAGAAAGAAAAGGGAAAAAAAAAAAAAATGAAATCCCTCCCCCTCCTCACCACCCTCCTCCTAACCCTAACCACAACGCCAACAACGCAAGCATGGACCTTCACCTGGCGCAACGCTTCCAACACCCCCTTCATGGAACGCAGCACCTCGCCCGCCCCCTGCACGTCAATCGACCAAGCAGAAGGCAAACAATTCGTCTTCGAGCCCGATAACAGCCCTTACTCGTTCTACATCTGGTCCAACGACAACTGCTCCGGGTCCTACAGCGGGTTCACGCCGCCGTCGCGGTGGGCCAAGAAGGCCTCGACTGATTTGCGTTCGTATATGGTTAATTATGGGGGGAATGATGGACCGTCGACGACCGCCGTTGCTTCTTCTTCTTCTACTACTTCTACTTCCACTACCTCTTCGTCTTCGACGGGGACTTCTACGGGGGGCAGTACCACTGCTACCACTACCGCATCGACGAGTGCGACATCCTCACCCGGGAATTCATCCAGTTCATCCTCGGGGATATCCGGCGGAGCAGTAGCGGGGATAGTAATCGGTGTGGTAGCAGGTATAGCGGTAGTGGGCGGAGCGTTTTGGCTTGGACGACGACGCCGAGGCGGATCTGGGGGCAATCCTCCCGGCAATGCAGGGCAGGGATTCGGGTCTGCGTCGGGATTGGGTCCTGGAGCGGGATATGTGCAGCCGGGGACGCCGATTGGGGGGTCCGATGCGGGTGGTTATATGGGGGCAGAGGTAGCAAAGGGATCTCTACCTTACATGTATGAGAATCATCCGATGAGTCCGGTTCCTGCGTATCAGCCGCCTGTGGGACAGCATTTTGCGGAGTTGCCGGGGGAGAGCGTGCGGGTGGAGATGAGCGATACGTCCAGGGTGAATGAGTTGGAGGGCAGTGGAAAGCGGTGATTCAGGGTGGTTTGGATGCTTGGTTGAGGGGATTGTTTTGTATTATATTTGCTTGGGCTTTTTTTTTAACATCTTTTCTGTGTTGGTTTGTCATTTCTATAAATACCCCGGCATTGTTGGTATACTTTTCTTAATCTATGTGAATATTTTCTTCTGGTGATCAAAGATACTGGTTAAAAGGATGTACGGTAGTCCTTATATATTCATACTGGGTGCTGTGACAAGATCTTGAGAATAGACAAATGGAATTCCCATTCATAAGCTATCAAAGAGAACTAATGAGAATCACTAGGTATTCCCCGCATGTACGAAGAGAATCATAAGACTGAAATACTTCCTATACTGCATTATCATCCATGGAGCCTGTCCGATAGTAGAAAAAGAGAGGTCGAGAAGATAAAAGATCGTGAGCGAGTCCAGGCTCCCCTATCACAACAGTATGATACACGCATCTTCCGATGCATGGGGCCATATCGTAGCTCTGTACAGGAGACCACCATGCGCGCTTCGCTGAGTATCTGTGACTCCGGATCACGGTGAACATTGCGATGCCACGCGGTTTTATGTGCAATGCTGTCAAAGAGATTGAAAGGAAAATGTGGCAAAGAGAAAGAAAACTAAGAGGCCTTAAGGCCCAGAGGAGCCCATCACTGATGAACGCCAAAACTCCCGTGCCAGCTGTGCTGTAGACCTGCAGAACCATAGTACTGACAACGTAAATAAAGTCCAAACTCGAACAAATAATATGACGCTAGTGATTATGTTCAGGGTATAGGATATCGTGAGGCTTCTCGGGGTATCGACATGGGCGGCATCCGACCTCCTACCCCACCAGCAGCACCACCTCCACGCATACCCGCTCGCAGATCAAAGTCGGGGTTATTCTCCAGCAAGACATTTTGTCTCTGCTGAGCCGGAAGTGGAGGCGGCTGCCAGCGCGGGTTGATAGGCCGCTCTGAGATTGACGTAAAATGGCTTATATCGCTAGTAGTGGGTGAGCTGGGTCCTTCAGCCAAATCTTCCGTCAATTTCGGCTCACCAGAACTACCCGGCGTCAACACAGAAGGCAACCGCGGGTTGCCCACGGCATGCTCATTACGATTAGCAAACCGAGGATCGGCATCTTCGAAGTAATCCGCCGACTCATCAGGAGCATGGTGCGGGGTTCGAGTAGTCTCCGTCGGCTGGTACGCATGGACGGGTGAGGGTGAATGTCCGGGGCGACGCTCAGCCTGCTCCCAGGCAGCGCGGGGAGGAACATATGATCTACTCGGGGTTAGCTATGAACAAGAAATAGTAGGGATCAAAAGCTTTTTTTAGGGTCTTACGCTGTCCGGCTATAAAGGCTCGAAGGGCTGACAGGTTCGGGCTGGCCGTCTGCCGACAGGGCATGTGGTTGCGGGTCTAGCAAAACCTCCTGGGGAACCGGCTCCGCCGAACCCGTTCGCCTAGGCTGCGGTGTCATCTCAATCGCCTGGCCTATCGGGCTGCCATCCGGTGGCGACACGGCCATTCCAATTGGTCCAGGAGACGGCTGACGCATTGAGTCGGGCGGAACATCATAGTCGTACCTCTCCTCCTCTGGTGGCGGCATTGGTCGCGGTCCAGGATTGGGACCGTAGCCAAATGGTGGCGGTCCTCGGTATCCTCCTCGCCCCCCTCGCATTGAGCCCATGGGACTACCTCTACCACCGGGCGGGGGACCTCTGGGTCCACCATACGGACCTCCACGGCCGTAGCCTCCGCGAGCCGGATAAGCACCCCGCCCACGCGGGACGAAACCCAGTGGGGGTGGTCCCCTCCGCGAGCCCATACTGCCATCCGAGTATTGATTGCGCAGCCGGGGATCACCCGGCCCAGGTCGCATGCGAGGGCCGGGTCCGTAGGGACCAGATTGTGGAAGCGGGTTTCCGAATTCGTCCCGGGAGGGGTTGTATGGCGGCCCGTTATCACGCATCTGAGTGGGATACGGATGGTCTGGTAACGGAAAATCATTGGGCGGTGTTCGCGAGTTCAGCGGGATGCGGTCATCATCACTCTCGTGCGTTGTCGTCCGGAATGTCGCAAACGTGGGGCCGGTGTCAGATCCAGGAGGTGATCCAGTAACGAAAGGCTCCTTTGCCTCCCCGTTGAGCGGCTTCGGATCATTCAGACCTGCGGCTGCCGCGGCAGCATTCTGGCGGTTGTAGAAGTTTTCACCACTCATCTCGGCGTTCTCAGCAATACGCTTCTTTCGCGCCTTGCGACTTACGAGGGTTCGGCGCATCGCACAAGTGACCACACCACAGCTGACGAGGAGGATGGTCGCGCCGAGTACAATCCAGCCACCCCATCCCAAATGAGGAACGAACAACAAGATATCCACGAGGAACGCAAGCAGGGAGACGAGGAGCGTCGGAAGGAGCAGGATCAATAAGACGAGTAGGTAGCGGGGCGAATGCGACGGAGCATGGAAGTGAGCTGCGGCAGCCATACAAAGACAGATTAGGGTAAGAAACGCTGCGACCGGATGAACAATTAGAATAGACGAAAGCGATCTTCGTGTGCTAGAAGGGAGGTTGAAGTCGTCGCCAGTGTCCGAGAGGTCCTCTGTCCATAATTTAGCACTGGATGGTTAAGTCAAATTGGCGAACCACCAAACGCACCATTAGTGTAGCCGAGATGAATATTGGTACATTGGCCCCCTTTACAATAGCCAAAAACCCCATAGTCGACATTTTCAAACGTTGCCAACGGGATTCCTTTGACAATGGGGGTGGAGATAACGGATAAAAGCAAGAGAACAAAAGCGATCAGGAGCAGGATCGTGAGGGGAGTTGCGGGTTTGAGAAGCATGGCGGAGGGGCGGAGTTGCCTAGCGATAGACAACCCGTCGAGGAGCTCGAGTTAAAAATGAATGACGAAGACAATATCACGTTGAGTCAAGTAACAATAACTATAGCAACCACTGGGCAGTTGACAGCGACACACGCAGTCAATGGTGAAAATGAGAGTTCACAGCATTGGTTGAAACATTGCTGTAGGTCTCCTGAATTTCTGGGGGGTTGAGGGAAAGTGAGCGCTTGAGTCCCGTGAGAGAACTAGTCCAGTAGTACGATTGTATGTATGGTAAGCTAGAGGGGGGGACGGATCAAAAGCTGGTAAATGAATCAACGTTGAAATTCAGAGATGAAAGCTATATCGTGCGGACAATCTATTTAGGCTTGAGGGAAGAAATAAAAAAAGAAAAGACAAGAAAGAATGCGACGGTAAAGGGCAGAGGGGAATCGGAGAGCAATGGTCGAGAGAGAGAAAGAATAGTGAACGAATGAATGAATGGAGTGGAGAGTAGTAAGAGAGAGAGAATTAATTGATCAAGACAAAAGCGGGTGGAAAGGCGACTCCATCTTTTGCCTCAGGTGTCTAACCCGCATGACGGCATCGCCACAAAAACTATAACTAGTAGTATTCTTCATACTTTACTCTGTATGTTGAACGTTATCGCACTTCTACTTTACTTATCCTTCTATCGGTGAGTACATACCTTTCTCACTTCCCTGGCACATAGTTCCTAAAAGTATTTCATCTTTTTCTTTTAACACCAACCTACTCCGTCCTCGAGTCAGACTCCTCGTGGTGGCTGTGTCTCCGTCCCCTTAGCTTCCCGTCAATGCGACGGTTCCCACCCAAATGCCCTTCTGATTCGCCCGACCAGCAATCACACTCTGTTGGATCCTTTCACAAGAGACTCTTGCTAATAGTTGTACGTAGCTAAATAACATTTCACGCTGATGGTGGGTTTCAAATATTCAGTGTTCTTTCCACTGGTCATGGTTTAGTTTATAGCATATACATACACAGGTACAAATACTAAACTTTTGAGAAGGCAGACCCTCAACATGTTTGGTTGTGTCTGGTCTGATTGAAGTTCTGTCCAAATGAAACAAACAAGTGTTGCAAGACACGCGCTAAGGCTATCGGTCCCGCAGAAGCGTTTTACGCATCGTTCCAAACTGTCGCTTTTGAGTTTATCGCTGTTGTGATCAGGGGTGGACCACCATTTTTAGCGCATCCTTACGCCCCAAGGTCGGGAAATTTATTAAAGGACACTTTCCCTATCCACTTCACTGAACCTATCGTCGACCGTTCAAGGTAACTTGGGCACGATCTGGATCCCGACCATGGTGGACCACACGGGATGAAAGTGCCCAGAACAGGATCACAACGGATCGAAGTACAGTACTTTGCGTGTACCCTCATCCCCAGTCACTAGCGAGCTTCTTAAGATAGCACGCACGCGTCTATGGCTAGGGATTTTCAGGTATGAAGTACTTTTACGTACCACAGTGGAGACGGCCTCGATGTCGCCTCCACTCTTTTCAATGAATCCAGAGCCCACCCGTCTAGTCGACATGTACTCTAGGTCGATAATCCGACCATGGCGATGTTTTAAAAGGGAGCAGTTCTTAATTAGCATTGCATCTACAAGCTCTTAGCATACCACAGCTTTCGCGAAATTTCCCTGCGGAAATCATGTCGAAAGAAAAAGGGAGGACGGAGAGGAGAAAGAAGTACAATCCTCGCTAACAATGCTACGGCTTCGCTTAATTCGGAGCCGAACCACTATCAGTCTATTACACTCCAATGTATAATTCTAGTGGGCAAGGATCAACCACTTCAAATCAACCGGTGGGTTACCTCCGTCCTTGAGACACTTGAATACAACATTAATATGATGAGGCCTTCACTACGTGGTATGTTGCCTCGTCAGAAGCTTACCAGGTACTTAATTGTTTGACATATAGACATTGGCCCTCTTTCTCGCTACGCTAATTAGCTGTCAATCTCTATACAGGGTGACTGGGGAGGGATCACTCGCCTGATAACCTTAATGCATCCTTGGACAACCTCCATTGATATATCTTGAGGTACCTTACTTCGATCGTCGTGCTCAGGCCACATTACTCGAGTCCCAAGGTATCGGGGTGATTCCACGCGTGGATTGAGTTCTGGGAGAGTTT